TCCATAATGACAAATCAAGTCTACAGAAATGAGTTGTGTAGAAAGCAATGAACACTATAAGCCAAGAGTCCGAATTGAATGAAAGCTAAAAGAGTTAAAAGTGTTTTTCCTGAAGTAAATTGTTATAGTATATCATTGCCACTATTTCACTGCCCTGATTAAGAATGTCAAAAGAAAAGAGAAAATATGTGGTGAACACATCAAATTAATGAGTGTGAGGGGAGTGAGATGCTTTATATTACAACATACTTACACCTATTTTCATTAACTTGCAATACATCGCTTATTTAGCTTGTGAAAATGTTTTCTTTGGCGGGAATGAAATATCATGCTTCATATCATTTGTCACCTTTCTGTAATTACCACGCATGCTTTTTTGTACATCTGTTTTGATGTAACTTAATACAGCTGTATAACTTGGACAGTGTTTGATTGTAATTACATTAGGGGCTCTAACTCTGGCAAATTTCAGGATTAAAATGAACAAAATGCCTTGTTTAAGTTAAAGATTTTGTAAATCATGATGAAATGTGTTTTCAGAACTATTTAAAATGAAGCAACATTCGATTTGAGCTAGTCGGCTCAGATTAACAGGAGGTCTCCTTCTCATGTGTTCAAGACCTCAAGAGTGTGTAATGTAAGAGACCCAGACGGGAACTGACATGAGTATCCAAACACGTAAAAAATTTAAATACACAATATGAGCAATAACAAAGAAAAGTATTGAGCGTGTGCCTATAGTGGTGCAAGCATGACATCAAAACCCGGAAGACTAATTCGCCACTAATTCCTTTGAGATTTTCCTATGGGGTTTTCCAATTTATGAGTGAAATAAGGCCTGTGATAAACACAACTTGACGATACTTGACGATTCTACAATGTAAATTAAAGGGGTGATGAACTGAGAAATCAAATTTTCCTTGCGCTTTTGACTTCTAAGAGGTCATCATTATAAGAATATCCTGTAAGTTTCAGAACTGAAAACGTCATTGTTAATCCAATAAAAGCTTTTATTGACACCAGTCTGTGTCAATAGTTCTGTTCGCTTCATTTCACTGATGATTGTTTTGTAAACAAGACAGGATTTACAGACCGATTAAGTACGGTGCTGTGCCGTCTATATTGGATCTGACAGGAATGGTGCAACACACAGACTCTGGGTCGAACATGTGGGCGAATCATTCCGGTTGCCATTTTACAACATTGGACGTTTTCAAATCAATTTCCCCCAAGTGCATCGACGGGTGAGTCGAAACTCAATATAATATGCAAAACTGTTATCCACTCACAGCAGTGGGGGTCTACTTCCAAGTCTTCAGTGCGAGACGCCCATAAAAACCGAGCGTTTTTCAGCTAGGCTCACAACTTGGGTACAAAATAGCCTATTACTTATTCATTTTGATGTTTTTGAATGCAAAAACTAAGCGAAAGTCATAAGCAGGGTTGGGTATCGAGAATCGAGTATCGATTGGAACCGAGACTAACTTTTCGTTTTTCCCGGAATCGTTCAAAAGTTAAAATTTCGATTCCTAGTTTCGATATTCACAGTCCGCCGAGAGGAAGAAGAAACCGCTGAACAACACCAACGAAGAGAAGCGTCTACCGGAAGTGTTGGCATAACCACGCGAACATGAGTAGCTTACGTCCGCGATCCAAAGTGTGGCTTCACTTTTCTAAAAATAACGAAATCTCGGCAAAATGCAAAATTTGTGACAAAAGGAGTATTTTTACAGAAGGAGTATTTCCTTCAGAAAGGATTATTTCCTTCATAAAGGCCGTTGGTTAGCAAGGTTAGCTAATCTTTTTTGACCCTGCCTCTTAAAAGAATCAGAATCGAGAATCGTTAGGAACCGGAATCGAAACAAGGAATCGGAATCGGAATCAGAATCGTTCAAATTCAAACGATACCCAACCCTAGTCATAAGTTGACCTCAGACAACAATATAATAAAATTTAAAAAGCCAGTTCATGACCCCTTTAATGTACAATGTAAATGTAAACTGCACCCCCCGACCCCCCTCCCCAACTGTTCCTATATAGTTACTTATTAGGAACTAACATAAAAGCTTTAAATTTGCATTTTTGAATGGGTGTGTGTGATTTACGTTGCAGAGCAAACGAATTGCCATGGTCTGTTTACCTCAATGTGCTCATAAATTAAAAAACGTATTATAAAACCCCATAGGAAAATCTCAAGAGAACCAGTGGCGAATTAGTCTTCTTGGTTTTGTTGTCATCTCTATGTAAAGATGGTAATAGTGCTGATAAATAGCACAAAAGTCTGATGAGGCAGTTGGACCTGAAGATTAATGACCTAAAACAGAACAAATGTGGTGAATTATTGCGAAAGTTTGAAAGGAATGAGAAATGTATAGAGAGAGGCGAGAAATTGCAAACAGACAGCAAACATTCAAGAGAACAAAGTACTGGGAACTTTCTCTTTTCGGTAAAATCGAATAATTGCCATCTTCAGCAAATCTCTCTTACGTATCTGCATTAGGAAAAGTTCTCAACGGCTGTGGGTCACAATGATGCAGTTTTAACCCTTTTTTTCCATCCAGAAATACATCTTTCAGTAGTACATGAATATTTTGAATCTATCGTTAATAATTCTGTAACAATCTACAGACTATATTGCAGCTATTTTTAGTGTGTTCTTAAAAAAAATGTAAAAAAAAGTTTTCCTTGAACCATTAGCGAATTCCATTTGGTTTGTTGACCCTAATTCCAAGTGCCTGGGAAATCCTCCATGGCCTCTGTCTCAAATCTCAGGGAAACAGAAGAGTTCATTAACTTTCCAAGCAAAGCAGATCATTTTAATAAAACTTTGGAGAAAAAAAGGACCAGGGTCATCAGAGACCTGACGGATTATTCACCCTTGATTTTAATAACGGGAGCCTTGCTTGCAAAAGTGGAAGAAATGAAACGGAACGATCAAATGCCAGCTTGACTGAATCCCTTCCAGTGAATCTGTGATGGAGTTTCTATCACAAAACTTTAAAACAACATAGTAAAACTTTGGCTGTTTTCAAAGACTCATCTTTTCCATTTGCCATGTTAGGCAAGTGTGTACAAAATTCTGCAATTAAATGCATCATTTGACAAAGCCAACATATCCCAACAGAGCAAACCTCACCAATGAGAGTAATGGGATGCTGAAAGAATCAAGTCTTGTCCACAGGAGAAAGGAAGTAAAAACAAAAAGAAGTTCTCTTCCCTCAATAAGACACATAGCATGGGGGTTAGCGAAACACACAGTCGGATGATGAATGTCTGTTTGCATTCCAAGTCGACAGGAGAATCAAACGAGAGCCCAGAGAGGGGTAAATGTCAGTCTGGAGTATGGTAGAATGGATATGTTGGTTAGGTTATGCATTTTTGTAATGCCTTTCCATGCAGAGAATATTATTATATGCTCATTAATCTTTTTCATATTCATCAGGTGTAATGTGAGTCAGAGAACTAAAAACAACACGCTTTTATTTATTTTATTTATTTATTTATTTATGAAAACTGTGCCTACTGTAAATCAGATGAATTTCTTTACGTGAAAACTCGAAGGTATTGTTTTATAATCAGAAAATTTAAAAAATATGCTGTTTTTAAAAAAAAAAATACTAATATATAAAATACACCACATAACCAGTTCAATTGGTCAAATTTAGAAAATGCTTAAATTTCTAAATATAATATGAAAAAATGGTAACATTAGTTAACTACCTTAGTTAACATGAACTAAGAATAAACAATACTTCCAGCATTTGTTTATCTTATTTAATATTAATTTCAACATTTACTAATACTTTATTAAAATCAACGATTGTATTTGTTAACTAATGAACCTTAAAGAAATATTCTTAATATAATATGCCATAAAAATGTATTTACATCCTCAACCTGCATATAACAGATACACCATAAAAATATAAATTTTGGCCTAGTTATATATAGGATAAATTTCAAAACATACAAAATACGTTACATAAATTATAATTTAAATGTTAAAAATATTTTATAAAATAAATATACAAATTCAAATCTTTTTCCAGCTCTATCAGTTTAAAGCTACATAAAAACTGCAATATGACAGCAGGAATCAGGCTAATTGCGTTGTTGTATGGATGTTGTGAATGAGGACTCATGATGGTATTGCGGGAAAACAAACACCTTCTGTTCAGCTTTCAAGTATAACATTCTCACATGATGCAAAAACATTCCCCACAGTCTTGACTGTCAGATTGATGGACGCTTTTATTTATTTACCTATTTATCTGTTTGGGGAAAACAGAGTCTTTAACTTCCAGCTAGTTTTAACCCACGAGCTAAAGCTGGAAGTAAATGATCCTAAGCCGTCACGGACAGCAGCAGAACGGACCTTGTTATGAGGAGACGCTAAGGTGTGACGGGGTGCTTGTTTGCACAAAGCTTTAGCTCCTTTTGCCCCACGGCAACATTAGGCAAAAACACCCTGCCTTTTTGTCTCTTTCCTTCTGGACAGCTCCCAGGTAAGCGTGCTGTCGCCAGCCAGTTGCACACCTGTGGAAAGTTGCTCTTCTTTTCTTGTCCCTCCTCCCCCTAACCTCCCTCATCTGACCTGTAACAAGGATCAGTTCACACCTCTGCTCTGTTTGTTTGGCTTGTCCTGTCAAACCATCCCCCCAAATGAATCCCAATAACTCTATGTCAGAAAGATGTAACCCCTCCCCCACCCACATCCCTGTCCTTGGGCTGCATGCTGACAGAGTCTCATGGGGGTGGAGGAGAACAGGAATGTGAGAATTCTTCCGTTGGACCTGCTGACTCCCTCATTTGAGGGGGTAACACATTAAGAATAGTCACCGGGTCATCTAATTGGTTCCTTTGTGGTACAATGTGAATTTCTTTGTGTAGAAAACAGCCAGATAATCACTTAGCTTTAGCTTTTCCTGCTTTCCTTAGTGATAAGTTGCAGATTTGGGCCCTTAAGATCAAACCCTTTGTAGATTCAGTACCCTTCATACCTTTGCAGGCCTTTCTGTGAGAGATGGGCTTCGACATGTCTCTGTAGTAGCCCTCTTTGCAGTAGTGGCAGTGGCGACCAGCCGTGTTGTGCCGGCAGTTCAGGCAGACTCCTCCGCTTTTCCTACCGGAGAGTTTGTAAAGCTCCATGTTGAAACGACAGCGCCTTGCATGGAGGTTACAATTGCAGGCTGCGGAAAAGAAATAAGTTTAAACAGCATATCCTTTATCACAGCCAAGTACAATCAAATCACAAAATCCATACAGACTAGTCACAAAAATATGTCCCCTTTCTATTTGGGTTTGAGGACTGTAAGTAACACAGCATAATGCAAAAAAAAAAGGAAATATGGTGCTGCATGAGCATCATCAGTCCCTTGGCTTGCTGTTTTAGAAAGGTTTGTGAAAAGCCAATAAAACAGAATAATACAACATTTAGGCCCATCCACACTACTGCGTTTTCGTTTAAAAACTGAGAATTAAAACAAATACAATCTCCGTCCACACCAGTGTTTTATCTACATATTAGAATTGATCTCCGTCCACATTTAAATGACTGAAAACGCAGATCACGTGACCATTCACCAACACTGGGCACGTGTGTGCCAGTATAAACGGTGGCTGACGAATCAGGGAAGGACACATCATGACTGATGACACCCAACCATAGAGCCCTCTGGATATTCAAAACGCAAAACGGAGCTGCAGCGTTTCTAAACTTCTCCGTTTTAGGTTTTCTTTTTTTCTGTTTTGGTGTGGACGGTAGGTGCAAACGTAGCAAAAGGTCTCCGTTTTTAAACGAAAACGCAGTTGAAAATGCGTTTAGACAAGCATTTTTGGTGGGAAATCCGCGTATATACTGTATGGCGACGGAAAAGAGTGTGAAATTTATTTGTAGTATGCACTCCAGGCGGCTAGGTGGCACTGCCACACAACAACACTGAGTCCGCACGCCTACAACCTTCACTGTCAAGCAGACTTTTGCGTTTTTACCCTTACATGGGAACGCGGCAAAGAAGCATTTTTAAGATTTCCACTCTGGAGGGTAGTTTCACTTTTTTGCGTTTTTAAGCCCCAAAAACGCCGTAGCCGTGTAAACGAAAGGCACATCCAATTAAATATTTTAATGTTTTCACCCGTGAGCGTTCTCGTGTAAACAGGGTCTACAATGCAAGTGTGTACACTACTGTTAAAAAAGGTTGTTTTTTTTTTAAGATGCTCAGCAAGGCTGCTTTTATTTGATCAAAAATGCAGTACAAACAGTAATATTTTGAAATAATTACAATTTAAAAGAACTATTCTATTTGAATATTGTTTAAAATGTAATTTATTCTTGTGATGGTAGAACTGAATTTGCAGCATTTTTCAGTGTCACGTGATCCTTCAGAAATCATTTTTAATATGCTGATTTGGGGCTAAAGTATAAGATTTCTTATTATTATCAATGTTAAAAACAGTTGTGCTGCTTAATATTTTTATATAAAACGTGATTCTTTGAGGAATAAAAAAATCAAAAGAACAGAGTTTATTTGGAATTGAAATATTTTGTTACATTCTTAATGTATTTAATGTCACTCTTGCTCATTTTAATGCATCCATTTAATTTAGGTTTACTATATTTAATTTTACAGCATCACATGAAGCACATATTCAGGTTGACATTATGTTCAATGTAAGCTATCTCTACTAAAGATTTCGACATTATTTCAAATATTTTAGCTATTTTTCAGAGTTCGGTTGGGTACCAACCATAGGCACTCCACATGCTTAAAAGTCATTCGATCAGGAACGAACTGAAGTTTTCAAATCATTATACAAGCCTCAGTTTGACAGCCATGTCTTTACCAACTGCAGCAAATGAAGTGCCCGGGAATTAACTTCTGGTAATGAGGTCAGTTTCTGAGCTTTTTCCCTAACCAGGCCTGCTCTTTTCCAATGATGCCATACATTATCAGGCAGGCTCTCCAATTACCATTCCATTCCCAATCCTCACCATGCGCAGGAAGCTGTGCTCCTGCTTGTACTAATGAAGAAAGTTGCTGCCACCAAGTTTAATTACTGTCTGATGTTTATTCATGACTGATTTGTGTGCAGACATGTTCTCCTTCATTAGGCCTGGGTGAGACATTGGTGTGGCTCCTCCTCATGTATTATTCAACAATAAATCCCAACCCTCCAACCAAAATGCTTTGGGCTGTTCAAGCACAGACAACTGTTGGCAAGGCAGCTCATGCACATTCTCTGAGCAACTTCAACTGTGTTTATTTGCTCTGATGCTAGGAGACTTCAAGACAAAATAAGCATTTTGATGAGAGGGCATAACAACTTACAAAAGTGAACCCAGTTACTACACCAACACTGAAATGGGAAGACATTTTTTTTTTTGAGTGATTCAAGAGCCTATCATTTTTTCACACTATAATTTTTTCACAATCATTTTCTATGATTGTAGTTGAATAGTTTTTGAAGAACCTCCAAATATGATGAACCCCTTGCAAGGGACCCCCTTCCTAAAATAAAGGCAGCTTTATATTTTACATGAATAAAAGCCAACCTTATTAACTATTATCTGGAAAATAATTAATTTATATTGATAGTGAAAACTTTCTACCCACTGTTAGAATACAGTTATATGTATTGTAGCCTATATTAGAGGAGCATTGGTAGCACTTTTTTTTACATTACTGTTTTGCATCCATATACTATGTATACTTACTATAATAAGGTATTAACCCTAAAGCTAAACGGTAACACTTTATTTTACAGTAACATTGTTATAAATGTTACATGTAGTTACTATAATAATAATAACTATAAATGATGCATAGTTACATACATCTAATCCTAAACCAAACCAAACCCTATAATAACTACATTCCTTAACATTACTTAGCACTTTAAATGTGTAATTACAGTGTAATAAAGTCACCTTAAAAAAGTAACTATTCAAACTATTAACAGAATAAAATAATCACAATTAGGACCAGATTTAGTGAACAGAGCAAATTAGCATGAGAGCACAATTTCATAAAAGCACAGATGGGAGTGGATTGCGCAAATACCAGTAAATTGATGAGCGCAAAGTGCGCAAACCTTAGTAAATCGCCTTGCTTGATTCATTTAAATACTTTCCTCCCATTCATTTTGTGTCTGAAAGGGAAACTCCTACATGTAAAAATGTCAGCCTCAAAAATAACTGTGTTCGTGTCTTTTCATAGCTAATTTCCTTTTAGTAAATCACCAAAAAGAGGGTTTGGGCTCTAGCTGTAAATCTCATAAATTTCAGTCTTTAGACGAAGTGAAAACAGATATATTGTAAAATATTATGTTGGGTCATAACTTGATTTTGAAAATATGTGTAGTTACTACATTTTGCAGTATACTTCATTAAATTTCAATTCTAGAAATCAAGTTAAAGGATTTAGATTTTCATTCTTATTTTGTTTGTTTCCTGTTCACTTGAGTACAATGTTATCATTTTTTGGGGGGAAAAACTCCACTCAATGTCTCCTAAAAAGACTCCTGGCTCATTTTCCACTTGCTGCCAAAAAAATAATAATACTTGAAATAGATTTTTCGAGATGCCTGCAGGACACAAAGAACGATAATTCGGCCCGTCCTAGAAGTGTCTCCTCTTAAAACTTGCTCCATGCACGGCTTGTTTGCTTTCAAACAGGCATACTGTTGGTATTAATTCCGTGGAAACTGATCCTTCCTACCCTCCAGCTATGGATTATTCACTTTTGCTAACAAGGCAAATGCAGTCCGCTATGCGGCCTCCGGCTTCTTTAAATTTCTACAGACTTGCTGAACTTATTGATAAACAGAAAATCCAAGTTGTTTTCTCGGAAAATCAAAATGGCACCACATTTTATTACTTTTCGAAGGCACAAAAATACCGTAAATTGCTATTGGAGAGGCATACAACTGAGAAAAGTAATCACAACAGCATGTTTTACCAAAGTAACGAGAAAAATCTGTTATTACAATGACATCACCCTAAAACCGTTCAGTTGTATTCTTTCTTCCTTCATAACATGATTTAAAACAATCTGCGGTAAAAGAAGTGATGTTTTATACAGATTGGGCGGCATGCGCTGTATTAGATCGTAATTTGTTGCAGTTGCTGCAGTCAAAAAGTCAATGCGTCCTGCTAAAGGCTTAAATTAAGGATCATTTTCATTTCATTTATTATTTACTATGAGTTTAGACGTTATCACATCAGTTTGGTTATTATTTTATTATATTATAAATGATCTCTTTTCATTTTCTATGAGGACAACAGCTGGAAAACACTGTTGTAGCATCACCATGCACCTAAAAGAGCTGAAAGGAAATTGCACTGTCAACATGTGAGGCTATTGGTAGTCTTTGGCACACGCCGTTTCCTCTTGCCCTCAGTGATGAAAAAACACCCTCAACACACATAGGGCAGCTGGGGAAAGCTGTTTGAGTCCTCTACCTCATCTGGTTTACTCGTTCTAGAGATCGTGATTGTTGTGATACGACCCGGTCCGTATGAAAACACGAAGCATGCGCTCGGCTCGCACCTGCTCTTTTACAGGCATGCAGGATTCAGGGTGGCTGCCTCTCAATGGGAGTGGATACAAAGCGGCTGTACATTATGTCGCCCCCCCCCCCAACGATCAGCTCACTGTCGGACTCATTTTGTTTCCCTTTTCTGCTTCATGTTTGCTCATTTCTCCCTTCTTTCATTCATTCTGCCCTCCGACACCCACTCTCACACCTTGTTCCCGTACCTTTGAAGTGCTTTCAGACTCACTAATCTAGTCATGTCATCTGCCTTGAAAGCATGATCATAATTTAAATGTTGCCCTGTGTGACGGAAGAAGATTACAGACGCTTTTGGAAGTGGGAGGAAAAGCTCATCCCTATGGTGGTACTTCCTAACCACAGAGTGGAACAGCATCTGTCTTAACAGAATGAAAGAGTATAGAAGTCCAACCAGGCTGGGGAAGCAGAATCCTCGTAGTGGATGAAAACCCTCATCAGTGGAGCCGACAAAACAAGCTATTCTCACTTGTAGCTACACATCCACTTAGCCGTTAAACCCCGGGCAGAGATAAGCGCGAGAGATGACTCGTCTGATTGACTGGGTTGGGGAGAAAGCCAAACCAGATGCGTTTTGTCTCTTTCCCCTCTTTAGTTTGGCTTAGCTTTCAGAGAGGTT